TGCAAAAAACTTCCCATTACATCTGGTTATAATCACCCGTAACTACCTCCAGCAAAGGTCTTTTAAGGTATCGTTGAATGGTTGTCTTTCAGACACGTTTTCCAACCCAGCAGGAGTCCCGCATGGCAGCCTCCGGGGCCCTTGCTTTACAAAATCTACACTTCCGACATTCCTCCCCTCGGAGACGGATGTGTGTTTTCCTGTTCGCAGATGATACCGCAATAGCCGTCAAAGGAAGGATGCCTCGCGAAATAACGAACAAACTTCAACGATGCCTTAACGCCTTTGCTGATTATGAATTAAAATCAATGCCTCCAAAACACAAGCGATCATGTTCCTCCATCGGCAATCACCCAAATTGAAACCGACTCCATCTTGTACTGTAATGATGGATGGCACAAGGGTTGAGTGGTCTGCCGAAGTAACCTATCTCGGAATGTTGTTCGATGAAAAGCTCTTCTTCCGTTCGCATGTGGAGAAAACTGTAGTCAAGTGTTCTGCTTTGGTTAGCTGCCTGTATCCGCTGATTTGCCGCAGATCCCGCCTCTCAAGGGTGAACAAACTGGCTGTCTACAAACGAATCATAGCACCTGCGATCCTCTACGCAGCTCCGGTGTGGAAATCATGTGCACAGACTCATAGGAACAGAATTCAGGTTGCTCAGAATAGAGTGCTGAGGATGGTAGTTGATCGTCCTTTTGACACTAGAATAACAAATTTACACGAAGAGGCAGGCATTGTCAAAATAGATTCCAGAATTAACGAAATTAAGACTAAATTTGCACAAAAATGTAATATATGCTTTGATAAGCAATTTGTATATAGTAGATTAGGTGTATATAGTAGTTGTAGGTTAGTTGTAGTTATAAGCAGTCTCCATTTTCAAATTTAAAACAAACCAATCCCACCAAGGTGGTCATTCTTAAAACAGGCCTGATAGGACTAGGAACTGTAATTAACGATAATTGAAATTTCTAAAGAACTAAAGTTGAAAAGACGCATCTGTGTCACTTAATAAGTAATACATCAGGCATAACATTTGATAACGGCACAAAAGCATTTGTAAACAAACATTCTAAGGCCCTTTACACGCGTACTAAAGTACGCCCACGCAAACCAATACCACTTACAGAAAGGTGATAGTTGCCCCTATGCGATGATGTTGTTGGTTTGCGTGGGCGTACTTTGGTTCGCGTGTAAAGGGCCTAAGAAGGTTTGTTTACAAATGCTTTTGTGCCGTTATCAAATGTTATGCCTGACATGTAAACCACACAAATACAAGAAATAAAGATCATTTAAAGTTAAAAATAAACTGATTCTCGTTTTATTTGATTTTTACTTCCGCCGTGGTATCCTTTAGCAAGCAGGGGCGTTAAACATTTGTTTATTTATTTTACTTGTCCCTCTGTAGTAGTAGTAGTTGCAAATAGCGTCTCCGTTTATAAGTATTGGGTAAGCAGAGATGTGAGTGTGCAGTTGTTGCGATGTGACGGTTGTTGTGAGTGATTTACCGGTTCTCTGTGTGGGTAAGTGTGCTCGTGTCTTTCATTGCAAATGCACTACACTTACGAGAACTCAGGCAAAGCTTATCACGGACAATGCAAATGTTCTGTTCAAGTGTGATAATTGTCTATTAGATCAGAGTTGTGACGAGCAGAATGATCTGATCTCACGCGTTAAAAGGATAGAGGAAAAGATGAAGAATGTATTTCAACTCTCGGACTCGATCACTGGCATGCGAGACCACATTGCTGCTCAGATGGACATCGCGTTAAAGAGCGGGATGGCAGACATTAGCCGAAATGTAAATGGTATTGAATAATTCATTTGTGAGAAATTGGACAATATGTTGCATTTTTTCAAATTACTGCGGAAAAACAATTAGCTGTAACGAATGACCAGCGCAGTGTATTCGTGACAATTCAGTCGGAATCGGACCAAAATACCAAACGCAAAAAACGTAAATTAGTAATTCGTAATAGTGATAATGATGATGATGTTTTTTCAAGAAAACGCGAGATTTGCGGATGTTGTAAAAAGACGTAGTCGTTCAAGTAAAAGTAGAAATATTAGTAACAGTAACAGTACCAAACAGAGTAATCGTAAGACTCATACGGTCATTGTGATTAAACCAAAAGAGTCCAAATAAGCTTGCGAAGATACTCGTAAGTTTTTGAAAACACAGTTAGATCAAAAAACACACAAAGTCAATAATTTTAGGAATGGTATAGATGGCTCTATCATTGTTGAGTGTGCAACAGGAGCTAATCTAAATGATGTGAAAAATGGTTTTGAAAGCAATCTGGGTGAAAAATATAGTGCTGTTTTTCCCACTTCGGTGCCAAAATTGAAAATAGTGGGCATGAGCGATCAGTATTCCTCCGATGTCTTCATTGACTACTTAAAAAGTCAAAATGTAGACATTGCTATAAACGATGTAAAAGTAGTTAACATGTGTGAAAATCCACGCTTCCCTTATAACAAGTTTAGTGTTGTAATTGAAGTCAATGTCGATACGTATAAAAGTTTGCTATGTGCGAAAAAAGTAAATGTAGAGTTAAATCGGTGATCGATAGTTCTCGTGATAAATGTATTGAGATGTTTCAAATGTGAAGAATTTGGACACAAGAGCATGGATTGCGAAAATTGCGAGAGATGCTCTAGGTGCAGCCAACAACACATAACGTCGGAGAGTACGTCAACTGTATTGAAATGTATTAATTGTTTGAAAATGAATAAAGAACGAAAAATGAACTTGTACGTCAAACATGCAGCTTTTAGTTCTGAATGTTTGCTCAATAAACGGCTTTTTGATCAGAAGTAAAGCAGCTTGCGTTTCCTTGCGTTTTAATAAATAGCAGCCAATTTCCAGGAATGTGAATCAATTTGAGATTTTATATATGAATATTGCGGGGTTGTCAACAAACTATGTAGCATTACGTCAGATTGTTGAGGAAAAACGTCCACTATTAGTTTTATTAGCTGAAACTCATATTGAAGAAACAAAAGCTTTTGATCTGTATAGAATTCCGGGATATATTGTTACTTGCTTGTTTATCACATTCTAGACACACTGGCGGTGTTGCTATTTATGTCAAATAATCAGTTCAATTTAACCTTTGTACCAAAGAAGTTATTGATGGCAACTGGTTCTTGGGCATTACAGTTGTACGTAGCATGAAGATGGGTAATTTTGGTGTTTTGTATCATTCTCCCAATTCCAGTGACCAGCGTTTTGTTGAACTTTTAGAGAACTGGCTCGAGACATTCCTTGATTATAGGAAATTAAATATATTGGCTGGTGATTTTAACATTAATTGGCGTGATAACTATAATTCGAATCAATTGAAGCATTTAGCTTAATTTTAAAATTTAAAACAAACGGTAGATATACTCATTATTAATGAACCATTGCAAACTGGACATGTGCCACAAATTTGGAAGGAATCCTTAATGGTTCATATTCAAAAAGTTGCTGGAACAACTAAAGCCGAAGAGTTTTGTCTCATCAATATGTTGGACACATCAAAGAAAATTTTAGAATTTGTTGTGAAAGGCCAGCTGTGGGAGCATTTAAATATTATTAGTTTGTTAATACCAGAACAATCGTGATATCGGGAAGGTCATTCTTGTGAAACCGCGTTGAATTTGGTATAAGCGAAGTGGAAAGATAAATTGGAGCGTAAAGTTACGATTGTTGCTGTTTTTTGGAACTAAAACGCGCTTTTGAAACAATTTACAGGCCCTTATTGTTACGATCAATCAAGCGCTTTTAAGTTACAAGTACTGCATGTTGAAGGCTGTTAATGTGACCGAACTCAAAGGACTGTTCTTAATGATTCTATTTCCAGTCCCGTAGGGAATAAGCTTGGAGTGCCCCAGGGAAGAGTATTAGGGCCTCTTTTATTTATGTATATTAATGATTTGCGACGTGTTTTACGATATTGCTGCATGAACTCTAACTCAAAACTTAAACGTAAGGAATGATAAAACAACATTGAGTGAAGCGTCAATGTTAGCATAAAAAGGCGTTCTATTTAATGAGAAAGCTTTATGATTACAGTGGGATCGAATTATTAACTTTATGGCAAGCCCTTTTACTACACACGCTTCGTTGTCGTGAGCGAAAGCCTGTTTTTATTCATTCTCTCATGCTCTACCGTCGTCTCTCTTACACATCACAAATGGCAAAACAACAGTCGAGCAAAATGAAAATGTTTAAATTACAATAATGTGACATGTGTAATTTCGTTCTAATTCCTTTTTTTTATTATTACAGTTCATTCGTGATTTGTCCGGGGGTGGGATTTGAACTCGTGACTTTGGCGTGAGAGCTATGGATGTTAAGCACTACGCCGGGTCGCCCCCGGTTCTAATTCAGAAATGGTATTCGTTGCTTGCAATTGTCAGAATAAGCACAAGCACAACATTAGCGGCTCTTATTACGAGAAAAACTAAAATGCATACATTCGTGACAGTCTTCGGCGACAGTGTCGTATGACAGAGCCTGTCATATGACATTTTAGTTTGGTACTGTAATTTGATAGCTTGTTTTGCAAGTGTCGGAAGCAAAAGCAGTCGAGATGAACGCGTCTTTGGGACGGTACTAATGGATATGTTTGGTCGCCATTGAAAATTTAGTCGATTGCTGAATTTATGTATGGGTCCAAATTAGGGGCATTTAGGCCGACATTACATCCATTTCCCCTACCATACAAAAATTAATTATATCGAAAATTCGTAGAAAACTGTCTGAATTAACAAAAAAAAATGCAAACGAGTTTAATTTCAAATATATCTATCCTAGGAAATCCTCCCATTAAAATTAATCATGAAAACCATCCCCCATTGCAGCCCACTGCAACAAGCCACATGTACAAACAAACCGCCTACGCACTGATATTCCAACCCAATTCTGAATATCACGCTCGACAAAAAAGAGAAGCCCACCTCCCTTATAAAGTTAATGTAAAAAAAAAAATAAAAAATCCCTCACTCACCGGTGGCGTCCGTCCGTCGTCCGTGTATCCGCAGTTGCAGCCTTCGTCACAACATATTCTAACGAGCTCGTGTTCCCCGCAGGTGCACGGTTCTTCGTCCTCCTCGTCGTACGGGCAGTCCTCCCGGATCAGGATGATGTAATCCGCCTCGAAGAACTCGTTCCGCGTCTCGTCGAACACGACCCGATTCTTCCGGACCGGTGGCGGCCGGTTCGGTTTCTTCAGCAGCCCCCGCAGGGTCCCGGTCGTTTCGCGCATATTGATCGGCAGCGTACGGTAGATCGGTATCGCTTCGATCACACACTCGCACCCGTCTTCGTCACTCACACTAACCCGGGCCCGGTCACTTTCGCCACCGATCAGCAATCCACCGACACTTCCCGATTCGGACTCTAGCTCCTCCTCGAGCTCATCGTAGCAGTATCTGATCTGATAGACGGTTGGCTCGTACTGGCTGAGGTGGCGCGTATCGAACTCACAGTTGGTATGCGGGTCCGCCGCCAAGAGCTTCTCTAGATTGAGGAATTCTTCACTTTCACTACGCGGGATGACAACCAGGTCGTCGTCTTCTTCTTCGGAATCTTTGTAAACGGTTTCAACCACTTCCAGCGGGTCTTCAATTCGGGGTTTCCCACCAGGGAAGATTGTACAGATCTCTTCGGATTCGATGCTAGACTCCGGAGTCGCGACCGAAGGCCGGTAGTCTACATCCAAGGGTGGGTCTTTTAGGGTCTTTGTGGGTGGCTGTTGGTCTTGATCTATAGGTTCGTCTGCAGGCAGCCGGGGACGACGAGGTGGTGGTCTGGACGGTGGCGATGGGAATAGGTATTGTGGGAGAAGGGACGGTAGAGACGATGCTTTGGATAGAGACTGTTCGGGAGATTGAGGTTTAGACTGTTGACAGCTAGATGGGTTTGACGGTTGGTAGGTGGGAAAAGAATCTTGCAACTGTTGCTGTCGTTGTTTGCGTTCGAGATCGATACAGGAAAGAGAAAGTAGAGATGATGCCGAGAGGGAAAGTAGCGATGAGGATAGTGGTGGAAGAACTGGAACCGTACGTGTCAAAACACCAGTGTGGCCTAGTTGGGTTTGGTTCGGGAAAGCATCCTTTTGAAGCGAGCTTAAGGATGATGTTTTTCGTGATGGCACAAATCTTCTGGCTGCATGGGATTGGTCTTCTTGCTCTTGCTCCGCTCTGGCAGCTGCTGTCAATGACGGGGTCGATGATGCTGGCACTGATGATGATGCGGAAGCTGCGTTTGTGTTGGTATAATCTGCCAGCAGAGTCGAGAGCGAACTGAGGGATGATGATAGATTCTGCGGTGCCCCCCCAGTGGATGAGGTTAATGATTCACGTAATAGCTTTTTCGTATAGGCAAATCCGCGGAAACGTTCCTCCAGACGTTTCAATCGATTGCTGGCCTCGAAACACTCGTGCTTTTCACTGAGAAAACTAATCGGAGGCCTCAGATATTGATCGGTATTTTTGGTCAGGAAACGTAAATCCTTTCTTTCGTCGATTTCCGATTCACTCACACTGGAATCGAGGCTTTCGGGATTCCGTAGGTCAAAATCGCCATTTTCACACACTTGCACACTGATTTCACTGGTCGACTTCTTCGGAGACAGAAAATTCCCAATGAAAGTCTGAGTATCCTGGTCTCGACACTGGCCAACGGGATTCTTCTTCTCGCAATTATCCTCGATAACCAGTAGAGGCTCACAGATTTGCGTTTCCGCAGTAGCAATTTCACAGCCACAATCGTCTACGTCATCGTCGATAATAATAATTCCACTGTCAGCACTGGATGGGGTAACGTTACTGTTGTTGTTCCTGCTATTGCTGATGGTATTGGTAGCACTATCCTTAAGGATTTTTTCCTCCGCGGAAGAAGACTCCTCGCCAGGCCTGTCACCCGAACTTGAGAAAAAGTTAAAATCACTTAATCCATGTACACTGATATGAGCATTGAGGGTAACTTCCACGTTTAGGCCATACGACGGAGGAATCCCAGTGGGTGGTGCCAGCGGAGGCGGAGGTGGAGAACCAGTGCCATAATAATTTTCACTCTCACTGTCCGAACCTTTGTGGTAGCAATTTTCCCGTTCACTGAAATGGACCTCCTTTTCGCCTCGATGGGCTCTATTTTCCACACCAACCGACGCCCGATGCGATGGCGATGGAACTTGGATCGATTTTTCACACAATTGGTTTGAATTTCTCTGATTTTCGAATCCAAATTCCAGCTGTTCAATACCACTAGGTACTGATGTTACAACATTTTCTACTTGTTTGACGACTGGCTGCTGCTGCTGCTGCAGACTATGCTGGCTCGAGTCCCTTTCATCGATTCTCGGAGGCTCGGCGAACCACGCTTCGGGCACGTTTCGGCCCACCCGAACACCTGACCCGACAGTGCTGCCACTTTTCTTACTATCCTGCTGCTGGTGCCGAACGTGCTCATCCTGAACGTCAACAATGTTGCCCTCGTCCTCGCCGTTGTCGCCGTCTCTGCTGGCATCGATCGATTTGCTGGCCGTATGTGCCCCAACTGACAACGACGGCCAGTCTCCACCACCAGGACCAATGTTGCCAGTTTCTGCACATGCGTTCTGCTTGCATGCACTTTCCTCTGGAATTTCGTCGATTTTCCTCCCTCCCCACGGTGCAGGTGTATCGGAATTCATCAACTCCACCACCAGTGTGCTTGTGCTGGTGCTGTTTGTCGGTAAGGCAGTCCCGATGACGGTTGGAGCTGCTGAGCAGGAGGCATCTCCTTCCAGCCGGATGAGATGATGATGATGCTGGCAGTAGTGAGCACCACGGCCATGTAACGGCAGACATGCGCACTGGACCTTCCCATTTCCTTTTGTCACATTTCGCACTCCGTCAACGTGATCTCCGATGGAAACAATGTCATCTGTTTGCATAGTCTCTGTTGATATTTCATTACCACCCACTTTCCTCGCCGCTTGGACTCGCCTGCCCACCCCCCGACGTCGAATCGTATCACTTACATCCCATTCAACACCGTCATCGTCGTCGTCGTCGTCTTGTTCTGTTGTCACACATCGTTCGCTTTCCTCAAATTCCTCCCCACCGCTCTTTTCACCCTCCTCGGGTTCCTCTTCTTCGTCGTCTTCACTGCCCAGCAGTAAATCATCCAACAGGAACGTCACTTTTTTCACTTTCGGCTTCGACGTTTGCACCTGAAATGGGGAGAGATGTAAACGGTTAATTAGATCAACTATTAAGAAAAAGGTGATAATTTGATTTATGCATTGGAAATATGACAAATGATGTTGGGGGTCATGCACAAATTATGCAAGGGATTAGGAGGGGTGAGGTGACTGACAGTGTATTAATTAGGTTTTATTTTAAACGCCTTTATTTCAGTTAAAAAACAAATTTTACAAGTTCACATTTTAATAAAATCACAGACAAACAGACATATCTTTTTAAATATTTTTTTCTTAAAAATATCATCACCGAACTCACAACGGCATCTCGCGAGAAAATCGCGGAAAAAAGTTTGCTAGCCATGTCTAGCTAGGATAGAACGTATAGAAACGCTGTGGGGGATTCGTGAAACTAATAATATTTAAATTGAACGTTAAATGCGTGTACGTCGATTGAGGAGAAAGAGTTACGTCTGTTTATCTGTGATAAAACTAAGTCCAGAGCATGAACCAGTAACGCTTGAGGATCACATTTTCGTGGTGCGTTACTGGTAAAAGATCTACCTCCGAACACTAGTCCTGACAACTTCAAACTAGGGGAACAGGATTGTTCAGTAATCAAAGGAACACATTTTAGTACTTGCTTTTTTATGTCTTGTTAAAAGTGTCAAGACTCGGAGAAGTAGTCACAATGCCTGTTGAATTGTAAAGTTAATTTAAATATATTTAAAATTTAAATGAAAGTTTCTTGGGAGAACTACTATTTTTGGAAAAGCTTCAGCGATTATCTACTATAATGTAAGGTAAAAGTTAGAGAGAGTCTAGTATACGAGAGGAGTGGATTCGCTGGTTTTGAGCCAAACGAACTGTCAAAGCCAGAGCCAATCGAGCAGTGCCTATCTTGATTGAATTGACAGTGACAAAGGCAGTTTGTTTTGAATCCGCTCCTCTCTTATATTCGACCCTCTCTAGTAAAAGTGGTTGTTGCTGATATTTCTTAATGAACTCGGCGGCAAGTTGCGCATCAAATGGACTAATCGTATCTTAATTATCCTAATCGTATTTTATAAAATACTATGTACGCGTCCGGGATGAAAAAGAAAAGTTGAATCAGAAATGTGATGCTTGCAGGTAATTTCGCTATTTATAATGTGTTGTGATTCAAAGACTTCGAAAGATGTTTTATGATGGTGGGTTTTGCATAAAGGGTGATACGGTCAAAATTTGGTCAATATCAACTTGACGTATTTCTTTCAATTTTGCATTTAAAAAACCTGAACACCCCTCATTTTGAAGGTGTGTGTGTGTAGAATGTTGCTCCTATTTTGATTTTGGAATTCACTCTTCAGTTGTCAAAATGCCGTCCAAGCAAGAAGAGCAGCGTATCAAAATTTTGCTCGCGCATCGCGAAAATCCGAGCTACTCGCACGCAAAGTTGGCAAAATCGCTAAAAGTTGCCAAATCAACCGTTACAAATGTAATTAAAGTGTTTGGGGAACGTTTGTCGACAGCCAGGAAGTCTGGATCGGGGGGAAATCGAAAACCGGAAGCCGCTGAGACGACAAAGAGAGTTGCCGGTAGTTTCAAGCGAAACCCTAACCTCTCTCTCCGAGATGCCGCAAATAAGCTGGGTGTATCGTCTACAACCGTGCATCGAGCCAAAAAACGAGCCGGACTATCGACTTACAAGAAGGTAGTGAGAGTGACTCCAAATCGCGATGATAAACAAAATACGACGGCCAAAGCGCGATCCCGGAGGCTGTACACGACGATGCTGACGAAGTTTGACTGCGTGGTAATGGACGACGAAACCTACGTCAAAGCCGACTACAAGCAGCTTCCGGGACAGGAGTTTTATACGGCAAAAGGAAGGGGAAAGGTAGCAGATGTTTTCAAGCACATGAAACTGTCAAAGTTCGCAAAGAAATATCTGGTTTGGCAAGCCATCTGTACCTGTGGCTTGAAAAGCAGCATTTTCATAGCTTCCGGGACTGTCAACCAAGAAATTTACGTGAAAGAGTGTTTGAATAAACGTCTGCTGCCTTTCCTGAAGAAACACGGTTGTTCCGTACTGTTTTGGCCGGATTTGGCATCTTGCCATTACGGTAAAAAGGCCATGGAGTGGTACGCCGCCAACAACGTGCAGGTGGTTCCCAAGGACAAGAACCCTCCCAACACGCCAGAGCTCCGCCCAATTGAGAAATACTGGGCTATTGTCAAGCGGAACCTAAAGAAGACCAAAAAAACTGCTAAGGGCGAGCAGCAGTTCAAGGCAAACTGGCTTTCTGCGGCGAAGAAGGTGGACAAGGTGGCTGTACAAAATCTGATGGCAGGGGCCAAGCGTAAGGCCCGGCAATTCGGATTTGGAAAAGCGGAAGCCTAACTGAATATTTTTCCTGAATTTTATACTAATTGAACTTGAAAAAGAAATTTAATTTGATTTTTTAAATAAACGATTTCACCGATTTACACGCGTTTTCCCTTGACCAAATTTTGACCGTATCACCCTTTAAGAAGAGTGCCATGTTCTCTGTTTATGTGTTTTTATGTGGTTGTGTACATTTTTGGCTTTTTTTTTCTTTTCGTAATTTTCCATAAATTGTTTAAGATGCTGTTATAGTGATTGTATTTTGAGAGCTTTCCCCAGCTAAAAACAATCCGTTTGTTTCCTGGCGGGATAAGCTCGATCGTGCGTGATCTGGTTTTAGTTTTTAGTTAGTACATAAGAAAAGCGGATACTGTCGGTAATATGTGCAACCAAATTCAAGAACATAGTTGAGTCTTGTGGGGGAAAATGCATTACGATGTATCCCAGGCTACTATTGTAGAAAATTGTAACTGATAGATCTTGGGCGGAACGCTTCAGAATGTTTAGAAAAATGGGGCGCATGCTTGATCCCGTTTGGGATACATTATTGTCTGTTTTCTAGAACGTTTATTTCATATGCATAGTTTATTTAACCAGGGCTTAAACAATCGTCACGTTGGTTATAGCTTGTTATTACAGCCTGACAAATTCGTTTAGAGTAAATCGAAACATTGAACCCCGCGTGAAAGTGGAACTTAATGAAGACCTAAGTGCTTTTTTGTAGCTTTTAGTTGTAGGATTTGAAAGACCGTCGGTTGCAGAAAAACGCAATCTCAGGTCCTTTCATATTATTCATGGTCAAACCGCTTGTTTACCGTGTGTTTTGCGAAATTTCTCGTCATAGTTGGTGCCGGGTTTGAATGGTTACAACAAGTCGAGTAACGGTATGATGTGATATGAGGGGCTTGGTGGCCTTAGAGCGATCGTTTTTGCTTACTGAGCAGAACATCATGAGTCTAATATCAAGCCCATTCACTTTCAAGATTCGTTAATCGTTTTATTTGTTAATATGACTACAGGGTAATAACAGCAACTCGATGATTAAAAAGGAGCTCGTTTGCCTAGTGGCAAAAGATTTCGATTACTGAGCAGACTACCGTAGGTTCAATCCCAAGCTCCTTCGCGTTATATGATCTCTAGGACATCAATTCAGTTTATCGTTTACCAAAACGAACCCTGCTGCAAACCCAACATCCTAGTGATTTCTCGTGGAAGTGCAGAGGACTCCTCGGCTTCCATCAAAGCGAGTGTCACGTCAACACATTCCTACCCATTCCTTTCTTGAGCTGCGTTCAGGCACGACTGACACTGGTATTGTCTAGTTTGAGATCATTAGTTTTTACACGTTGAGGATGATTGCTAGTCCCAAGCATCGTGTGTAGCTGTGTAATTACAGCTGATCTGGCAATAACAGAGTTACAACCGTGGGCTCATACTCATGCCCAAAACAAAGTCAGAGCATAATCGTGATCGGACCGAGGTTTCCAGCCTCGGCCATGGCTACACGAATTAATGGTGCAGCTCTCCCACGGCTGCGGCTGGTTCCAATGCTGCTGCTGCTGTTCCTTCTGCTTCCGTCTCCTCCAAAATTCGTTACAAGAATGCGGTCAACGAGGTTGAGTACCTCTAACTTATACCTGCTAACCTTCCTTAGCTCAGCCGATAAATGCACAGGTACAAAGCAAGACCATGCTGGAGGTGGCTGGGTTCGATTCCCGGTCTGGACAGGGAATTTTTGGTGTTGGAAATTGTCTCGGCTTCCCTGGGCATAGAGTATGATTGTAGGCATCGAAAGCTCTCAATTAATAACTGTGGAAATGCATCTAGAACACTAAGTTGAGAGCACGCAATAAGCTAATATGCGATATGCAATACGCTCGAAATGAGAAGAAGAAGAAGAAGAAGAATTCCTGAACCAATAAGATTCCGTTTTCATACGGTTTATCACGCTTCACGCTCACTCGATTCTACTCATTCTTTATTCCACACTGACTCTATCTACTACAAGCATGAACAGACAAAACATTGTTGGCATCTGATACAAAGTTTACGTAACATATAAATAATTTAGAGCCTTTCTCCTACTACTTCTGCGGACATTAATTAATTTAAAAATCAAAAAATTCCCTGAATCCTACTATTTATAAAATCTCCAATTTCCGATGAAGATTAATCCATAAATATCAAACACGAACACAACTAAAAAAGATTAAATAGTTAAAAGCTATTAATTTGATCTTAACCGTTTTTATGCCAAAATACCTGAACATACATTAAGCGCAAGGGGTAAGACAACTGTGATATGCTGAAAATATCATAAAATATGTCTAAGTATTAACAAACAATTTAATTAATCTTTAAAAACTAATTCCTCATACTTTGTGGGAAAAAGGCTCCAATCGGCTCTATCAGAACCGTTGACTTGAATGAAGATCTGGTGTGGGTGTATTCCATCCCAGTACTACGAATGACGGAATTTCATCTCTCGTCTCTGAGTGTCTGGGTCTGGAGACCTACGAGAAACCACGGGTTTCAAAATTGGTACCCAGAGGAATAGATACATCCACGTTGAACTACGTTTCTTTCAAAGTCGGCGGAATGTTGCCATTTCCTGCGATACGTGGCCAGAGGGTATTCAATTCCGTGATTCCCGGTCGAAGAA